CAAAGTTGCAGGATACAAAACTAATACACAGAAATCTGCTGCATTCCTATATACTAACAACTAACTAGCAAAAAGAGAAATCAGGGAAACAACAACATTTACAACTGCATCAAAAAGAATAAAATACCTAGGAATAAACCTAACCAAGGAGGTAAAAAACCTGTACTCTGAAAACTATATAAGACACTCATGAGACAAATTACAGAAGACACCAAGAAATGGAATTCTATCCTGTGCTCATGGATAGGAAGAATATTGTCAAAATGGCCATCCTGCCCAAAGCAATTTACAGATTCAATGCACTCCCTATCAAAATACCAGTAGCATTTTTCAATGAACTAGAACAAATAGCTCTAAAATTCATATGGAACCACAAAATATCCTGAATAGCCAAAGCAACACTGAGAAAGAAGAACAAAGCTGGGAGGATTATGATCCCTGACTTCTAGCTATAGTACAAAGCTGCAGTAATCAAAACAGTATGGTACTAGCACAAGAACAAACCCATAAGTTAATAGAACAGAATACAGAGCCTAGATATAAACCCATGCATATATGGTCAATTAAGATACAATAAAGGAGCCATGAATGTATGATGGGGAAAAGACAGCCTCTTCAGTAGCTTGTGTTGGCAAAACTGGACAGCTATATGCAAGAGAATGAAACCAGATTACTGTCTAACTCCATACATAAAAGTAAACTTGAAATGTATCAAAGACCTGAATGTAAGACATGAAACCATAAAACTCTTAGAAGAACACAGACAAAAATTTATTGAACATAAGCGTGAGCAATTTCTTTCTGAACACATATCCTTGGGCAAGGGAAACAAAATGAAAAATGAACAAGTGGGACCACATCAATCTAAAAACCTTTTGTACAGCAAAGGACACCATCAGCAGAACAAAAAGGCATCTGATAAGGGGTTAACATACAAATATATAAAGAACTCATGAACTGTAAATGATTCATCCAATAAGGAGTTAACATCCAAAATAAATAAAGAACTCATATGCCTCAACACCCAAAAAACAAATAACACAATTAAAAAATGGGCAGAGGACCTGAACAGACATGTCTCAAAAAATGAAATACAAATAGCCAACAGGAACATGAAAAGATGTTCCACATCACTAATCAGGGAAATGTAAATCAAAACCATAAGATATCACCTCACACCAGTTAGAATGGCCACTATCCAAAAGAAAAGAAACAACAAATGCTGGAAAGGATGTGGAGAAATAGGAACCCTCCTACACTGTTGGTGTGACTGTAAATTGGTACAACCATTGTAGAAAGCAGTATGAAGGTTCCTCAAAAACCTAAAAATAGAAATATCATTTGACCCGGTAATTCTAGTCCTAGGAATTTACTCAAAGAAAACAAAATCCCTGATTTGAAAAAACATGTACCCCTAAGTTTATCACCACATTATTTACAGTAGCCAAGATACAGAAGCAACCTAAGTGTTCATCAATAGATGAATGGATAAAGAGGTGGTATATATACACAATGGAATATTACTCAGTTATGAAAAAAGAAGAAATCCTGCCATTTGCAACATGGATGGATCTAGAGGGTATTATGCTAAGTGAAATAAGTCAGGTGGAGAAAGACAAATACCAGATGATTTCACTTATTTATGGAATATAAAAACAAAGCAAAGCAGAATGAACAAAATAGCAGTAGACTCATAGACACTGAGAAGTGACCAGTGGTTACCATGAGGGAGAGGTTGGAATGGGTAGGTGGGGAGGGGAGGGAGATAAAGGGGCACAAAAATTTTCAATCATAATATAAGCTGGTCGTGGGGATAGTAGTACAGCATGGAGAATATAGCCAATCATTCTGTACTATCTTCCTATGTTGACAGATAGTAATGCACTAGTGGGGGATGAGGATTTAATATGGGTTACTGTTGGACCACTGTGATGCATATTTCAAGCCAATATAAAATTGTATATCAACAAAACTTCAATTAAAAAAGGAAATATTTTAAAGTTAATGAAAATGAAAACACACGTCAAAATGTGTGACAGAAAAATTCATGGTAGCCTAAGGGTTGGGGAATCAGAGGACAAAGGGACTACAAAGGGCCATGAGAAGAATTTCAGAGGCGATGGATATAGTCACTACCTTGATTTGATGGTGGTTTCACATGTGCATACATGTTAAAGTTTAAATTGTAAACTTTAAATATGTGCATATCAGTTGAATGTCAATTACACATATCTCAATAAAGCTATTAATGTGTATGGTGTATGAACATTTGTGTAAACAAATACATACACTAATTACTGTATATACAGGGACCATCTCTTCAAAGACTTACTAGAAAATGACAAAAGTGCTGGCCTCTGTGAAAGGGACCTAGGGTTAGGAGAAAGTGGTAAGAGGGAAACAGACCAATTATAGATACGTTTATACTGTTTGAATTTACCACATGCTATTTTATTTGTTCATACTTTGAATTTCAAAACTTTTAAAAAAATGCCTTTTGAACAAAAGCATACAAATGTTTCTCACAGTAGAAGATGGACCTTGAGAGCAGCAAACATTCTTCCCAGGCTGAACCAGCACCTGAGGAAGAGGTTCCCAGCCTGGGGTTCCCAAAGGCTGTCATACAGATCAGTGGAAAGGGTCTAAAGGAATTCCTGACAAGATACACAATAAAAGCCTCAGCATATCCCAATACACATAGTCTGCTTTAGAAGCAAAATCTTGCATGATCACCCCATTTGGTAAGTGTTTACTATGAAGTACAAGTAGAGACAAAGGGACCACCTTAGTTTAGGTAAATTTAATGATTGTAAAAGCTGTTCACGTGCAGCAAAGAGATGCATTTTCCATTTACATAAAGTTGCTCCACCACTTGCAGCTTGTCTCCAAAACTTCATTACCTCTTTCATTAGTGACCAGTCATATCTGGTCCTTTTGGGAACACCTGCCCACATCTACTCTGAAGCTATCCACTCAGGTCAGCAATACACAGTGGAGTCCTTCAGTGTGGTCCTGCAGAGTCAGGTCAGCAACACGCTGTGGAGTCCTTCAGTGTGGTCCTGCAGAGTCAGGTCGGCAATACGCTGCGGAGTCCTTCAGTGTGGTCCTGCAGAGGACATGTCCTTTAAGTGTCTGAGAGCTGGCGGAAGTGATCTGAAAGAAAACCAGTCAGAAGAAAGCAAGGTCACCAGGACTGCATGTTAGGGACTTAATGTGGAGCTCCCAAGGAGAAGTCATCAAAAAGGTTCTGATGGAAAGGACCAGTCAACAGAGACTGCACAGTTCCTGTGTGCCCTCAATCCTGAGAGGAAGAGACACCTGATGTAATGATAATGCACATAATTTAACTAGTCCAAAATAGCTGAATCCCAACTGCCTCTTCTCTCTTTCGTGGGAGACAGCTGCTCTCTGGTACCAACCTTAGGTTCGGTGTGAACTGCCCTTCACAAACCCTACCAGTAAGCTGTGACCCAGGCTGTACAAGTCAAAGCCCTCCTCAAGATGTTTATGGCCAAAAGTTGGTATGAAAAGCTCTCCTTCTTCTCTAATTAAGAGCTGGAAGCATGGGATCCCAAAGTTACCAGTGGTCTCATTTCTTACCATAAGAACCAGTCAGCCCCTTAGTAAATATTTATTGGGTGCTTATTATGTTCTAGGAATTATCCTAGAGGCTGGAGACATCAAATAAACACAACAAATATTTTCTCTGACCTCAAAGAAGCTTTCAGAAGAATACAAACAACAAATATGTAAACAAAGAAAGAAAGATAATTTCAGGCACTGAGAAGTGATATGAAGATAAAATTAGTTTATATGGTCTGAGAAGAGAAAGGCACAGGCAAGCTACTTTCGCTCCCCTAGAGAGAAGGCCTCTCAAGGACATGACATTTCAGAAAGAAACTAAATGTTAAAAAGAAGGTTGCCAGGCAAAAATCAAGGGCCTCCCAAGCAACAGAGCATGTGCAAAGTCCCTGACCCTAGAACTAGATCGGAGGGGAAAAGGAGGAGGAGAGAGGAGAGGAGTGGAGGGAACAGGAGATGGGGACGGTAGCTGGGACCGACCGCGCAGGCCTTGGACACCCTGCATTACATACTAGGTCCAACACTAGGCTTGAAAAGAAGTAAGCTGTAGGAAAATGGGAAGAATTCATTCTATTTTAACTACATTAAGACGCAGAGGCAAAGGAGATAAATGCAGGTCTCCTGAGAGGACAGGAAGGGACAGAGGGAAGGCACAAGGAGCCTGAGAGGAGATGAAGGCGCTTCCTCACAGCCCTATGTGAGCAGACAGCGAGTACAAGCAGGATGCGAGTGGGCTGCTGGGAACACTGATGAGACCATGAGTTTTCATCTGATTACATCTATTTTCTCTATGAAATGAGCAAAGACATCAGCTGATCCTAGGGTTTAGACAGGCAAGTGAAGATTTAAAGAGAAAGAGTGGGAAAGTCAATTTACTAGAGAAAAATAATGGGATCAGGATTTCAGGGCCATGCTGAGTGTTCACTTGAGTTTTATGGTCATGCATTTGAACTGAATTAAGTTGGATTCATGTGACATGGACTGTTACTTGTCCCCCCAACATTTCTCCTCTTCTTCCTCAGTAACAGAACTGAGGAATTTTTAGCTGGGTACCTGCTCACTCAGAATGAAGCCCATACTTCCCAGCTTCTGGCCTGGCGTGGTGTTACTGTGGCAGAAACAGTGTGTGAAACTCCTGCAAAGTGTCCTGAAAGGAAGAGGGTGTGCCCTTCCCTCTCTTCTTCCTCCTTCCTGCTAGCTACAGTATGGATTTGATGGCTGGAGCAACCACCCTGGTCATGAGGTGACCCTAAGAATGGAAGCTACACGCAGCACAGCCAAAGTCAGAAAGAGTCTGAACCCCTAATGACCATGGAACCATCACGATTACCAGTTCCAGACCGTCCATATTGATATTTTTTTTAGGGGGGTGGGGATCATTAATGTACAATTACATGAACATTATGGTTACTAGATTACCCCCATTATCAAGTCCCCACCACATACCCCATTACAGTCACTGTCCATCAGCATAGTAAGATGCTACAAAATCACTACTTGTCTTCTCTGTGTTATACTGCCTTCCCCATGCCCACCCCCCATATATTGTGTGTCTAATCGTAATGCCCCTTTTCCCCCCTTATCCCTCCCTTCCCACCCATCCTCTCCAGTCCCTTTCCCTTTGGTAACTGTTAGTCCATTCTTGGGGACTGTGAGTCAGCTGCTGTTTTGTTCCTTCAGTTTTTCCTTTGTTTTAATACTCCACAGATGAGTGAAATCATTTGATACTTGTCTTTCTCCACCTGGCTTATTTCACTGAACATAATACTCTCTAGCTCCATCCATGTCGTTGCAAATGGCAGGATTTGTTTTCTTCTTATAGCTGAATAATATTCCATTGTGTACATGTACCACTTCTTCTTTATCCATTCATCTACTGATGGACACTTAGGTTGCTTCCGTTATCTTGGCTATTGTAAATAGTGCTGCGATAAACATAGGGGTGCATATGTCTTTTTCAAACTGGGCTGCTGCACTCTAAGGGTAAATTCCTAGGAGTGGAATTCCTGGGTCAAATGGTATTTCTACTTTGAGTTTATTGAGGAATCTCCATATTGCTTCCCACAATGGTTGAACTAACTTACATTCCCACCAGCAGTATAGGAGAGTTCCCCTTTCTCCACATCCTCACCAACATTTGTTGTTGTTTGTCTTTTGGATGTTGGCCATCCTAACTGGTGTGCGATGATATCTCATTGTGGTTTTAATTTGCATTTCTCTGATGATTAACAATGTGGAGCATCTTTTCATGCGCCTGTTGGCCATCTGAATTTCTTCTTTGAAGAAGTGTCTGTTCAGATCCTCTGCCGATTTTTTAATTGGATCATTTTCTTTTTGTTCATTAAGGTGCATGAGCTCTTAATATAGTTTGGATGTCAACCTTTTATCAGGTATGTCATTCATGAATATATTCTCCCATACTGTAGGGTGCCTTTTTGTTCTGCTGATGGTGTCCTTTGCTGTACAGAAGCTTTTTAGTTTGATATAGTCCCACTTGTTCATTTTTGCTTTTGTTTCCCTTGCCCATGGAGATATGTTCATGAAGAAGTTGCTCATGCTTATGTCCAAGAGATTTTTGCCTATGTTTTTTTCTAAGAGTTTTATGGTTTCATGACTTACATTCAGGTCTTTGATCCATTTTGAGTTTACTTTTACATATGGGGTTAGACAATAATCCAGTTTCATTCTCTTACATGTAGCTGTCCAGTTTTGCTAACATCAGCTGTTGAAGAGGCTGTCATTTCCCTATTGTATATCCATGGCTCCTTTATCATATATGAATTGACCATATATGCTTGGGTTAGTCTCTGGACTGTATTCCATATTGAGATTTTTATAAGAAAGAGAACTACCTTCTTAAAGACACTGTATTTTGAGTTTTCAATCACCAACATCTGACCTAATTTGTGTAATACAGATTAAATGGATGTTCTTCCCCAGTAATGTTCAGCTGCTAGGGTGCAGATGCAGAGCAAGCAGACAGCCATTTTCCCCAGGGTTGGGGTTTAGGTAAATTAAGTACCACAGAAAAAAGGGAGACAAGAAAGTGAAATTTATGAAGGAGTGGTTCTAGTGCAGCCCAGAGACTCTAAGTGGAGGGAAATGGGAACAGTAAAGACGAGCAACAGAGAAAAGAGCCAACACACCCCTGATTCCATAGCTCCTCCTTCACTTTGATCCTTCCACTAAATCTTACCAGTGGGGTTTATGTCACTTGGGCACAGAAAAGAGCCCCAAGTTACACAGCATCACCTTTCTATCTTTATTCGCAAATGGATTTTTTCCATTTACAAAAGACTATCATACTAATGCTAAAACCCAGTCACCTACCTCATTCCTTTTTTCAAGTAATCCTTAGCTATAGTGGAAAGAAAACAGGAGGAGGTGTTGGAAAACAACTAAAAAATCAAAGAAGCAAACATTCAGAAGACAGAGAATTAAAAAAACAAGACGATGTCCAAAGAAAAATAAAGGGACAAATGGAGAAGCCTATGAGGGACCATTTCCAGATCAGTCACATTGCTGTCTTGCAGGAATTATTCTACTTAGGAAATTCTTAGGTAATGCTTAAAGTAAGACAATCCCCAGTCAGGACAAGGCCAGAAGGGAGTGGGATCATAAAGTCCCCAACCAGCAAACTAACCGTGTTTTAAGTTTTTGTCGGATGGACGGAACAGAAAAGTTCTCAGTGGCTTGAAATCCCAGGCCAATTCAAAGAAGTTACATGCCAGGGGAATGAAATTTCCCTGGCTGCAGGCCATGCACCATGGCGCCTATGAACTCAAGCATAGGTGACTGTAAGAGTAAGCACAGAAATGAGAGCAGGGGGTGAGGTACTAAGGAACAGGGCAGAGAACAGAACACTGATCAGCATCAGCAGAAAAAGCATCACCCTCTGACCATCGCTCCCTTTTGTAGATGTTTCAGAGTTCAGTGTTAGAGACAAGGCTTTCCTCCTGCCTACCTCATAGTACACATCCTGCTAGCCTCTGCTTGTGGGCAAAACGGATGTGAGAAGAAGGAAAGGAAGACGGTAGTAGCCGATCTGTCACAGTATAAGAACAAAAGAAGTAAAGAAAGGAATATCCCCAGTGTAAAGGAGAAAGGAGAAAAGGGGAAAAATCCCACAGCCATTCAACTAGATCTGCTAGCTTAGGAATGTTGGGAATGCCTAGGGCATCCGAAACCTGGAAGGGAATGCTGATCTCTGACAGACAGAACTATCAATGCACTCAAAATCACTTACACTTCCTAGCCCTCTCTGTAGCAGAAAATTACATGCTATTATGTATTCCCTAACCTCACCAAATTATCAAAAAGAACCCTTCCAAGACAGGAAAAAAGACAAGAAAATCAAGAAGGCATTACTACTTAGGAGCAATTTAAAATTCAATTTGAGGTGCCCTTCCAAAATTCAGGTTGAGAAGAGATTTTTATTTTACTAAAGAATTTCTCCAAGAAAAAATTTCATTCCCCCAAATTATCCAACCCAACACCGAATGCACAGTGCAAGCCAAAAGCCCAAAAGGACACCTTACCTTCACCAGCACATAGTCCCCAGGCTGAGCTCTCACCTTGAGCTCAGAGTTAGTGACATCCTCCATCTCTACATCAGGGAAAATCACCTTAAGGTTTCCATCATTCCGGCCACAGAGGTCAGCAGCAGAGCGTTTACTGAGCTGCAGTAAGAACAAAGGAGATTCACAAATTTGTCACAGTCATCAGTTCTTAGAAGGCAGAAACTATGCCTTCTCTGCCTCAGATCCCCAGGGGTCTTACTCATAGAGCATTCCTTAACTAAGGAAACACTGAAGATTAAGTGTTTATCGTTGCTTCACCAACAAAGGCAGTGTATGGCATACAACAGAGACTCAAAGTCTGACAGACTGTATGTTAACAAAAAACTCAATCAATGAGTCTTTGCAGAATTACCTTCCCTAGGAATAGACCTCCAACAGGCCTGACAGCAAAGATCAATGGGTGATGTGCTTGATAAACTGACTTTCACTTTACCGGTCTCACAGTAATCACTCAGGAATGTTTTGGGGTTGTTTGGCCTGGGTTACTTGCCCCTAATAAACAGGCAGACTAGAAGCCAGAGTTTCCATCACAACATACAAAACACAGGGACAAAAATAATAATAAAATCAGTATGATGGTATTAGCTTCTAGAATATACACAAGTCTTTCTCTTCTAGCCATGAAGAAGTGTCAAAAATCAAATTTACCCTCCATCCTTAAATAACCAAGAAACTGGAGGAAATATATGAAACAACTATTTTCAGGTATTGAATAGACTATTGCAGACTGTATGTTAATGAAAAACTCAATCAATGAGTCTCTGCAGAATTACCTTCCCTAGGAATAGACCTCCAATAGGCCTGACAACAAGAATGTGATCCACAACAGAAGGAAAATAAATAGGAAGAGCCCTACAATCAACCCTGTGTTCTACCAGAAGGCACATGACAGACCAGAGCATGCAAGGCAGGGAGGAAATCTCAAGCAAAGCACAGTGGTTCTCTCTGGATTGAAGGAAGAGGGATATTTCAGGGAGCCTGAATAGCTACATATTGTGGGACAAGTTCTAGACAGGAGGCAGCTAAACAGAAAAAGAGCTGTAGAAATGTGTATAGGGGTCCCTAGAGTCTTTGCTGAATACTAACACAGGCTTGTGTAGAGTGAACCTCCATGAAGTTAGGCAAAGAAAACAACCTGGGAACTGTCAGCTCACTGACTCCCAGAGTTCACACAGAACTGGAAATCACTTGACCTACAGCTAAACAGTCCTCACCGATTCCTTGGAACATGAAGTAACAACTCCAGAAGAGCCACAGTTTAGTGATGAGGCTAAACTACCCTTAGAATAAAGAAAAGCTTTTCTAACAAAGCTTAAAAACAAGCCTTGAAAGAATCAAACTGATATTTAAGTAACATAATAACCTATCAGAACCAAGTCCAACACAAAATCCACTCAAAAATGAACATCACAATGTCAAATATCTAAGGAAAAAGCAGTAGATATGCCCAGAAGCAGAAAAATGTGACCCATAATCAGGAGAACAGTCACTCAATAGACACACACTGAGAAACAATAGCAGGGATGGAATTATCACAAAGATAATAAACCAGCTATCACAATTAAGGTTAAATATGAAATTAACTTTCAAAAGAAAACAAGAACACAGAAGAGAATATTTTTAAAAAAATAAATGTAACTTACAGAGATGAAAAACATATATCTAGAATTAAAAATTCAATAGGTAATAGCCAATTAGACAATACCAGAGAAAAGAATGGTGAACCTGAAGACAGCAATACAATCTATCCAATATGAAACACTGAGATAAAAAAGACAGAAAAAATAATGACCGGTCTCAGTGACCTATATATGGGACAATATCAAGTGGTTGGACATACAGGTAATTGGAGTTGCAGGAGAGGAGAAAAGGTGGAAGTAGGTGGCAAGAAGCAAGAGAAGTACAGAAAAAATATCTGAAAAATAGTAGATGAGAAATTTCCAAATTTGATGAAAATTATAAACCCACAAACTCAGCCGCAACAAGTCCCAAAGAAAACACAAAGGTATAAATACAAAGAAAGCCATGCCAAGACACATCAAATTTCTAAAAACAGTGATTAAAAAATCTTAAAAACAGTCACAGAAAAAAGGTATTTTATATATAGAGAAGATAAGAATGATGCAACTTCCCATCTGAACTATGCATGTCAATAGACAACAGAATATCTTTCAAATATCATGTTAAAATTTGATAAAAAATAAAAAAATATTTTTAAAAGGTAGACGAAAATTTTTTTCAGACAAACAAAAGCTGAGATGATGCATCATCAAAAAAAGAAATGTTAAGGAAAGTTTTTCAAGCACAAAGAATATGATACCAGATAGAAACCTGAATGTACACAAGGAACGAAGAATACCAGAAACAGTAAATAAGCAGATACATATATAAGACTTTTCTCTTATTTTTAAAGATTTCTTTAAAAAATAATTGATTTTTCAAAGCAAAAATATCAATGTACTTTGGGACACAGAAGCAAAAATCTATGACAACAACCATACAGAAGGTAAGGGGAAAGGATAAAAGTATATTAATGCAAGGGTCTTATACATTTTGAGTAATGCCCTCTCTGGGGTTAAAACAACTGTCCAAAGATAATCCAAAGGGTACATAATCCACCCTTAGAAAATCAAGCTCTGACTACATGCCTATTCTTCAGTGATCAAAGACACAGGAAGGAATTTAGTTCTTAAACTGCTTTAGGGGAAACATCAGTCAGGTATTACCTCCCTATAAAAACTCACTAGTTACAAAAAGAGTAACTTTACAACCAAAAAGCCTCTAAGATACCATCTTAATGATATTTTCAAAGTTATTATCACCAGTAAAGAGATAAATTAAAATGCCACCTCACAGGGTACAATTAGAACACATCATTTCTCTAATATTCTTGCCTAAAAATGCATACCCCTAATCCTATCATGAGGAAACTCATCAGACAAATTCAAATTGAGGCAGATTCACATGATAACTGGCCTATAATCATCAAGTGTCAAGATTATAAAAGCCAAAAAAGTAAAAAACTATTCTAGACTGAAGGAGACTACAGAGACATGACAACTAACACAACATGTAACAGTGAACTAAATCCTTTTCCTATAAAGGGCAGTTCTGAGACAAATGAATAGAATTAAACAGGGTGTAAGGATTGGATGGTAGTAATCTCACAAGGTAAATTTCCTGATTTTGATGATTGTATTATAGTTATGTAGGAGACTGTCCCTGTTTGTACAAGATACATATTACAGTATCAGGGCTTTGGGGGCATCAGGTCAGCACCTTACTTTCAAAGGATTCAGAGAAATAAAAGTTCTTTGTCTATAGCGTCTTACTATGCTGAGGGACAGTGACTGTAATGGGGTGGGTGGGGGAGACTTGATAATATGGGTGAGTGTTGTAACCACAATGATACTCATGTGAAACCTTTATAAGATTTCTCAAGCAATCTTATTTAATAAAAATAAATAAAATTAAAAAGTTCTTTGTGCTTATAACTTTTCTGTAAGTTTGTGATTGTTTTACAATAAATTTTTTAAGAGAGTATTCAGGTTCCATGATTTGAACAAACCAACCATAAAAGAAATTCATGAGATAAAGAAATTGGAACACTAACTAGTTATTTTATAATATCAACCAACTGTTGTCAATTATTTCAGATATAACAGCACTGTTTTTTAAGTCTTTATCTTTCAAAGATATATACTGAAATAATTTCCTGATTAAATAGGATGTCTTGTACTCATTTGAAAACAACCCAGTGGGAGCAGTAGAGATGAAACAAGATTAGCCATGATTAACATTATATTGACAATTGCTGAGGCTGAAGAGCACATGGGCATTCATTACACTGTTCTCTCCAAATCTATTTCTTTAACTCTGTACTTAAAAACGGTGGCAGTTTTTTTTTTTTTATATAGGCTCTAGAATGAAACAGACCTGGGTCAAATTCTGGCTCTACCACACTAGCTGTGTGATCTTCAGGAATTTATTTTATTACCAAGTGTCCATTTCTCTACATAAAGGGGCTAATAACATCAGTACCTCAAAGGACTATGGTGGAATTCAATCTGCCAATGACCATAAAGTGCACAGTTCCTGGTGACAGTAAATGCTCAGTATGTGTCTCTTATCATCATCTTCTCTGTCACTCTAGATATAGCAACCTGGTATTTTAAACTGCCCATGACTGGCAGAAAGGAAGTCTCCTCTAAGAGAAAGTAAAGACTCCAACTGCTAGCCATGAAAAATCCATTATTCTCTAAATCCCAATTTATTAATGGTTTGTGTCAGATGCAATAGAAAGAACCTTACTTTGGTTCGTTTAATTACCAGATGCTCTGGGGCTGATGAAGTCATGGACACAGATTAGTAACTTCTGAGTACTTATTCATTCATTCAAAAGTCAAGCACACTGTTCTGTGCCATACCTTGTGTGAGGACAGCTAGAAATACAGTAAGACTTAATTTCTGCTGGATAAAATGTAGATTGCCAACAGACATGTACATGTACAGATCTCCAGAATCCCAGCTAATATCCTAAATTACAAAGCATTTAATGAGTTAAACACTGTTTGGGGTATTTCAGTAGCTCAGTATCACCATCCATCAGCCACTGCTGGCCCAGACCACAGGAAAATCCCTAACCCAGGCTGAGTTATCAGTAACCTCTCTCCCAGAAATGTGATTTAGGGCTGAAAGACACTACTTTTGTCTGAGAATAGCTGGAACTATAATGTGTAAACGGAGGCACTACAGAGCTGTTGTACTCTACCACACAGATGAAAAAGTAGGAAAAGTTGGCCTGAGGAGGAGACAGGAAGTTCAAGACTCAAGGCCTTCCCAAGCTGGGTACAGTACTTCCCAGATACCAGGCAGTATTCCCGCGCTTGGGCTCCTCAAGATATCCCTGACATCTTATACAAAAGGCATTCTTTCTGGCTTAGGCTGAATGGCTTGAACTAGTTCCTCACTGTCATGTCACTCACTACCAGAGTTCTACACAACAAACATAAACACCAAGCAACTGGTGGCTTTGATGCTACTACATCCTAAGGCATGGAGCAGGACTTTGCCACCTCAAACCAGGACTCGGGAGGGGTCACAGAAAGGGCCTTGGCTCACTCTTTTCCTTCCTCTCCTCTGGCTGCAGCATGCAGCTTCACTAAAGTCAGGTTCCCAAACTCACCCCTTATCCTACCTGTTCAGTACCCTAAATGACAGTAAAGTTCCCAGGATTGACCACAGAAGCTTACAGGAACCCCAAAATTCCTGAAATAGAGTATATTTCTAAGAAAGAAGAATTTTAAAAAGGACTAAAGAGAATAAAATTGACTCTGAAAACATGCATATGATATACTACTTCCAGAAAGATGAAGCTTTTCTCTAATCCCTCTACAAAATACAAATATATTCATCAGGAACAAAGGGGAAATGAAAATATTCTAAGATGAAGGAAAACAGAGAATCTGCTGCCAGAGTGTCTAAAGGTTCTCTAAACAGAAAGGAAATGATAAAAGAAGGAACTTTGGAACATCAGGAAGGAAGAATAAACACGATGACATGATTACCTACACAGACAATACCAAGGCAACTACCCAAAAAACTCCTAGAACTGCTGAGTTCAGCAAAGTCACAGGATACAGACAAACATACAAAACTCAATTATTTCTATACAGTAGCAATGAATACATGGCCACCCAAAATTAAAAATACAAGAGCAACACAACTAAAAAAAAAATGAACTACCTTAAGTGTAAATCTAACAAAATATGTATAGGATCTGTATGCTGAAAACTATAGAAATTGATTTTTTTTAAAAAGCTCTAAGGGCCATTCAACACACTCTGCCAGCATTGTGAGGATAGAAAACAAATTTATATTCAAAATCATTGAGGAAATGCTTCAACCTAAAATCTTTATCTTGGGGATACCGTTAATGAGAATGATCAGGAAGTGGCTCTAAGCACTCGAGAATCAAACCTGTGGACCTCAGTCTGCACTCAGTGTAGTAAAGGAAGAGATAATTGTAAAGAAGAGAGAAAATGCCAAGGTTAACTGTAGTCTGTGATAAGGAGACCATTCCTATTGCCAAATGCCTGGAGGCCATGCCAGTTCCCACTGACTGATATTCATCTTCAGAGCCTGCGTGAGAACATGGGGTGTGGGCTACATTTATCATCTCAGCTGAATACAAACTTTTGGATTAAGAAACACTTAAAGGTTTCTGTTTTTAAGAAGCTTTCTAGAGTGGAATGTATAACCCTCAAATAGCGCTTAACAGTGTACGCATCACTGCTGTGTACACAGTAATGCTGTACCTTCTTAGATTTTTCTAAGTGCATGAAGTAGACACTAGCATTATTTCCACTGTAAAGACAAGGAGAACCTTAGGTTCAGAGAGGTTGAGTGATCTGTCTCAATTCACATGCTGGTTTGGGGCCGAGTAGGAACTTGAACCTGGCTAGGCTACATGCAGAGAATGTGCTCTGACCACAGTGCCACACTACCAAACCACATCCACTGTGTTTTTAAATAATTAACCTCTATATGTAGTTTTGTTTTTAACACACCTTGCCATTTCATTTTACATCTTTGGTAGTTCATTTTATAATTTTGTTTGTGGCAAGTTTTCATTTCTATTTAGAGATTTATTGTATAGGTCAATATCAAATATGAATGAAATTTTAGAGATCTTAGTAAAATACAGATGCAGTGATTACAGTAAATTCCTAATGGAAACCGTCCCATGTTCAAATTAGATTTAATCAATGCAAGACTGGCTCATTATTACTTTGGTAACAGAAAGACTCATTTGCTGTCATGCTGGAGCAACACTACAGTGGGCATGGATCAAATAAATTATTGACTAATATTATTTTTTTCCTAAATTATGATACATGAAATACTAATATGTGATTAAAACATTGTAGGACAGAAACTAAATTATTAGTTTAATTTAGTTAATGAGGTTATATACTCAGCAATTTATCAATGCATGAGTTAAGTGTAACTACCAGCTGTGAAGCTACATTTGTGGGATATATTAAAATACAAGAGACATATATATAATGGAATCTGGAGAACATGAAATCTTACTCATCTTCTGAATTGAAATCAAAGTGAAATAAGCTGTGGATTTGGGATTGGTGTTAGAATATTATTAAAGCAAGAAAATAACAACAACAACAAAAAAAAAGCTCTAAGGGACGGATGAGTGGGAAGCATGAAGGGGAAAAGGGGGCACAAAAATTTCAACCATAATATACATTGGTCACAGAGATGGAAGTGCAGCATGGAGAATATACTTAATGGTTCGGTAACATATTTATATGTTGACAGATAGTGTAACTGCACTAGTTAAGATGACGATCTAATAATGTGTATAACTGTTGAACCACTGTGTTGTATACTTGAAACCAGTATTATATATCAACCATACTTTAATAAAAAAATTAAAAAGAATTTTTAAAAAACTCTAAATAAAGGGGAGACTGTGTTCTAAAAATCAAAACAAATATATATATATATATATACACATATATATATGGCCTCACCCCCTCCACCAGCACCAGCTGGGTACGACCCACAGAGGTCTTGTTGGCTTTTGTTGCTTCTTCTCGGAAGACAGTGATAAGTTCCTCCAAACGCCTTAATTTTACCTCTTCCTGGACATCATCTTTCAGCCTGTGATATGCTCGTGTCTTCTATAAAAAAAAAAAGATGGAGGTCACCAAGAACTTGGGTAATCCATTCCTGAGGCAGAGGGAGACCACGTTCATTCCTGCAAATTACGGACATATGTACAGGAACCCAAGCCACACCAGGAGGGTTCTCAAGCTCTGGGAGCCTTCTGAGAGAAAAAAGCAACTATGCAGTAGAGTCACATTTTTGCAAGGGTTAAATTTTAAACTTAGCACAGACTCACAGCTATTCTTAATATTTTCATAGGATACAACCTTCATCCTTAGGATGAAGGTTACATCTGTACATATACTAAATAACTCATGTACCACATTACTAGGCAGCACTACTTATATAAAGACACAAGATGCAAAGCAGCCTAAATGTTCACAAATAGGTAACTAGTAAAACAAATAATGGTTTGTCTACACAATGGACTAGTACACCACCATTAAAAACAATGAAAAAGCCTATATGTACTGATATGATTGTTCTCCAAAATACTCTTAACAGAAATAAGTACATCAACATGTATAAAACAGTGTAGCAAGAACACATATAAATGTGTTTACAAATATATGAAATATCTCTGGAAAGTTAGAGAAGAAATACCTAATAGTGGTTGCCTTCAGGGAAAGACTGAAAAACTAGGCAATTCAGGAAGAAGGAAGAACAACTACTTCCCACTGCATATTAGCACACTGCTTTGACCTTTTGGATTTTATACCATGAACATGTATTACCAGTCCAAAAAAAGGGGGCTAGGGAGACTTTTCCTTGAAAAGCCTTTGAAGCATCCAAAACCCCAGTGTATATAGCTGTTTATATATATATGTATACATAAAATAATATTTACCTTACTTTGTGCATATAGGTCATCATACAACTGGAGAATCACTAAGCTAGACAGAAGTATGGAATAAGAGGTAAGTCTGGACATTTGAACTAGTCTGCCTTTGAGAGAAGTACAAAATCCAGAGGAAAATCAAGAATACAGGATTCTAACACAGAATGCTATTTTAGAATTCTCTGCAGGGTCTATTCTATTCTCTTATTAACAACTTACCTCTATTGTGTACTTACTATTATAAAGCACTATTCTAAGTGCTTTACACATATTATTTAATCCTCAAAATAACCTGATGAGGTTGGTACTGCTATCCCCATTTCACAGATGAAGAAACCAAAGACCTTTCCTAAGGTCACACAGTTATTAAGTGAAAAATGCACAATTTAAGTGCTTGCTCTCATCCCCCAGGCTACTTGATTAAGCCTCTATAGTCTTAATCCTAACCTAGGAATTAGACCCCTAAGTGAACACTCATTTTTAATGCCCACAGGATATGCTTCCATCACACACTGAAAACCCACTTCCCAACTCTAGCATTATAAAGAATTTCTCTTGCGTATTTGTGACATCCATGGAAAAGAAGGAAAATGGTACCCAACAGCATCTCTGAAGCTACATCCCTGGAATAATTTAAGAGACATGAATACACACATTGCCCTTGTTACACTGCCTACAGAACCCTAGGCCCCTCTGTCTCAAACCCAAACAAGAGCTGCCCATGAGGTGACTGAGGGGATGAGAAGTGACCCATGCAAATTCATCACCACCACCAGGAAAATGGCAGCAGACCAGGACTATCCCCCATCTGCAGGAAACATGCATTGCTCCCCTTTTCCTCCACCTCCTTCTGCTTTGTCTTACTGGGAGTCTGTATTATAGGAGAAACACCAAAGTGGGTACTGGTGGGTTCATGTGGCCTAGAAAATTGGAAACTAAAAATACCAAGGATGGCTGGAAGGGCAACAAGGGGCTTCTGTAACACAAATCACATCTGCAGGCCAAAAAAGTTCTCATGTTGAGAAATCATCCCAGGTTTCTTGCAAAGAGAACAGTCCCTCCCACCAATTTCAAATTGTAAACAACCCAAACATAATTTTAAATATTCTGATGAAGACAAATATTGGCACAGTAAATCGTTTTTCATTTCAATGCCCAAATTCTGTAAAATAGTAGACAGGTTGATTAGAAAAAATAAAGAAGTGAATGGTAAGATCCTTGTGGTTTCCCAAGGACTGCCCTGCCGCCAGTTTCTTTTCCTCCCAGTTGTCTACAATCAATCAGAAACTGGTCAGGAATGATGTCAGCCTCAGCACAGAAGTAGCTCCTCCCCAGTCTCAGGGATCACCTGTCTCATGCTGTAGGCAAAGAGGAAGCCTGTGTTGTACTGAACTTCCCGAAGCAAAGACACCGTCTGGAGATGATCTTCTTCTGTTTCACCACAAAAGCCAGCAATGAAATCACTGCTGAGGCTCACACCTACAACACACAACAAAGGACAGCATGTTGCTGCTACTTACCTTCAGGAGAGGCCTCTGACATTTGTGAGTCACAGTGAGAAGGACAGCAAGCCTAAGACCTTCCCCAGAGTTATCCAGCCCATGTGCCAGTGAAACAGAAGAGTCATTATAGAGCAAGGGTGGACAGGCCTGCTTATCTACAAATGTTCCCATGCCAGAGTCTGACTTCCCAGTCTGCACTCCCTTTTCAGCACTACAAAAGGTACTTTCACTTCAAATGTTAGATTTAGGGACATGTTAGAAGTACACATTTTCGAATTGGTCCTGCTTTTACTGGTGAAAACCTCGCAGTCGCTCATATAAATATATACTTTTGAAGTTAAATACAGTGCTCATTTAAGATAGTAACGATAACTACTAGTTACTGAATAGTTATAAGTGCTACACTTTACTATCTACTTAATCTATTTAATTATCCCAACAATCCAATGAGGTACTATTAACTCCATTTTATAGATGAGGAAACTGCAACCCAGAGAACCTCCACACTATGCTGCCCATAAAAATGGAAGTATGTATGCATAATACAAGTTCACAGTAATTAGAAATTCAGAAACAAATACAGACATTGTCAACCAAAAGACTATGGAGTAATTTTATGAGGAGGAAGAGAAAAGGGAGTAAGGGTTAAGATAACAGGTGAGGAATTACCTGTTACATTTTTAAAGACACCAATTGTCCCCAAATCAGAACTAATTTAGACCATAACTTTGCCAGCTAATGAGAAGGAATAAGCTCTCTCCCATATGTTCACAAACAAAAGAAAAAAGGAATCTCTAGCATTGATGCCACAAGCTGATCCACACCTCTGAGTATTTTTAGCAAAACAAGACACTAAAAAAATCAGGAAAAAAGTAAAAAAAGAGAAGAGAGAAATGAAGAGTAAGTATAAAAGAAATGTGAAAGGTGTCACAAGATATTGCCACAGTGTTGCCTGTATCTGACCAATAAGACTGTGATCACTGGAAGAGTAATGTGCTCAGCAGAATGCACTTCCTAAATGTACCAGGAATAGACTCTCTGATATGATGAATTAATTCCACATAAGCTTCTCTTGAGTATCTGCAATAAAGAACAAAAACAAAAGGTTTAGATGAACCATTCTTCTTTAACTGAATGCTCTTAAAAGATAACACTGTGAATTGCCACATGTAATTGCTTCTCATCCACATAGGACAGTACAAGAGTAAGTTAAGTATCCAAAAGAGCCCTTTAATCCAAACCCTACACTATAATCTAATCTAGAGCCCATGAATTTTTAGTTCAAGAACATACATTTTCAATAGCCTTTTTTATTTAACTAATAAATGATGACGGATGAAACATTTTAGAGGATGTCTAAAACTCGGCCAATGTGGAAAACAAAGCAAAGCACTAATTTCATACCCTTGCCATTTATCACATTCTCCCTTCAGTCTTCTCTCTGCAGTACTTATTTATTCCCAAAGTAAGTGAACAATTAGAGATACATAAATTCCAAGACCTAAAAAACTTTGCCAAAAGCTAAAGGATTAAAATGCCACACAGCAGATGCTTAATAAAAAAACATGCTAAGCAAATGAAATGAGTGATCCAGCCCTTAGTCTATACTTAAGGAGTAAACACAGCAAGTTATACTGTCCACGGTTTATTCAAATAATCAGTATTTACTGAACAGCTGTTATGTGCCACACACTTTGCTAGGTTCTTAGACACTGTTTGGTCCTTATGGAAATACAGAAAGGGGAGGATACCCCATCCCCATGCAAGTCTGACCCCCTCCGCATAGCCTCCAGTACACGGCTGCTTCCACTCTGAGCTGGTAGATGTATCTGTTTACAGATGTTGTCTCTCTCATGAATCAGCTGCAGAACCTGATCAAACAGAACACATTAAATAAAGGTCACCAAAGAATCTTGCAGAAAGGAATATCACCCTCACTTTCTCTGCCAAGATTTTCAAGTAATTAAGAGGCTGATTAAATCAAACATGTGAATTACTCAGATCCTTTATTTTTGCTCAAGTCATGTTCTGTCTGTCCCAAACATTCCACCTGATGGCATCTCTGCTTTCAAAGAATGAAGAAAGCAAGCAGAGGTCAGATTCAAGCCATGATGTTATTTAGGGGTAGTGCTGACACAGACAAGAAAGGAAAATGGCATTTGTTTCATGGAGTTTACAGACAAATTAGCCACATTAAAAGATACCATCAAGAAACTGAAACCAGGAGAAATTATTTTTTTAAATATACTGACAAAGGATTTGTATCAAGAATAACTAAAGAGTTTTTACAACTCAGTAAGACAAATAACCCAGAGGGGAAACGGTAGGGGTGGGTCCAAAAGACAAACACTTCAGCAAAACAAAAGACCTTCAAAAAGATGTTCCATGTGGGCTCCATGCAGGCACTTTGCTAATACCTTCCACATGTTGTAACTATTCCCCAACCCAAACAGGAGGTGATTATTAATCCCATTTTACAGACAGAAGATGACAAGTTGAAAGGGCACACCTACTAGTAAAGCAGTGGAAGAGCTGGGACTGAACTCAAGTCTGTCTGAAGCCAAAGTATGGACTGTTTCCCACTGCATCACACTGCGTGCTTTCCTGGCATCCCCATCCCACCTTGTAAAAAAAGGTGTCTTTGCACAGCCCTCATGGCCCCCCAGGTGGCCTTAACCTCCCATTAATGTCAGTCCTGCATCTGCCCTCACCTTGGTGGACTTTAAATCTTTCCAAAGAGCTGGCAGATTCAGAAGGCAATACAGCACTATACCAGAGGCTCCCCTGAGCAGGACTCAGGGACTCTGCTGCATCCTACTGGGCTCAGCCGTTCACGTGCTTGGGGATGCTGTTATCCATTTGGCACAATTACAGTCGATGCTCACCTCATCGGGAAAGTCCTTGGGGTGGGGAGAGGTAAAACGGATCCTCATTTCAGGATTGACTCTGGAGACCTCATCTAGAAGGTGAGCAAAACGAAGGCCCCCTTGCTTGGTTTTATAGTTGGTGGAGAAACCACGACTGAGGTGGGTAGACGTTATATTGCTGAACTGGATCTCCGAATTGTCCCAAAAACTATTAACATTCTGACCAAGGAGTGTCACTTCTTTCAGCCCCTGAAAATGGAAAAATATATTGGAAGCAATTTAAAACCTTGTTTGGTGGCTTCATGTCAAATCACTAATTATAATTAACTGAACCTACCAAGAGCCATCTATAAATGTGTTCTGTCTCTAATCCAGTAATTTCATGTTTGGGCATCTCGTCTAAAGAACTGAACTTCAGAATATCTTACATAAAAGTTAATCTTCAAAGCACTTTTTAGAATAGCAAAAAACTGGATGCAAAGTCAATATTCACTAGTAATGGTTAATTTATACACCATCAATCAAATCATGATCCCATTCTGTCATATGAATGTTCTATAATCATTGTCTATGAAGTATTCTTACTAAAAACATTTAGCCTAAATCAAATCAAGCTTTTATTCCTAACTTCCAGTATATGAGAAATCAGGGGAATATTTTAAATGACAACATGAAGAAGCAATCAGACAAATCCAAATGTGTCTAATCTCTTCAAAGAAATTAATGCATCATTTAAAGCAAACAATAACAAAAAAAATGACAGGGCTGTTTCAGATTAAGAGAGACTGAAGAAATGTAACAACCAAATGAAACTGGATCTTGATTTGAAAATAAAATAACAAGATATTTTTGCACAACTAAGAAAATTTTTATATGGAGTGCATTATTAAATACTAGTTGTTAAATTTCCTACATGTGATGGTATTATGGTTATGAAGGAAAAAAATTCTTATTTTGAGATGATGAAATATCCAGAGTTAAGTGGCCTGCTATGTACAACTTAATTTTTTTTTTTTTAATTTGCTACGAGTTTTAATATTCTTCACCAATATTAGCTCAGGCTTAATATTTAAAGGCATTGGGGTTTAATCATTATCATCTTCCCCTTATTGCTGTAGGTTGTGGAATTTGATATGCTGAGGTCTGCATGCAAGAGGATTGTGAGGAGTGTTCTACCATTGGTCATCACTTTTAGTGTTCTTCATTACTCTGTAGATTCATATTTCTATCTGGCTTAATTACCTTTACGACTAAAGAATTTCCTTGAATATTTCCTGTAGTGCAGGTCTTCTTGAAATGAACTCATTCAGCTTTGTAAAAAAATGTTATTTCATTTCATATACGAAATATATTTTTTTGGATACAAATTCTTGTGTAATAGCTTTTGTCCCTCAATGCCTTAAAAACATTACTCCACTGTACTTCTTTTTTTTTTTTTTTTTTG